ATATATATATATATATATATATATATATACACATATACACACACACATATATATACACACACACACATGCAATTTGGCTCATGATAATGAGGCATTGATTATTGGCACAACCCTTTGCAGTGTCATAAAGGATTTCTTTGGCAGGAACTATTAATTTCAGTTTCCAAAGTCAAACCTCCCATTCTTTTGTAGCTACAGTAAATCCATTGAAGAGTGTCCAGGCAGTGCTGTGTTGTGTGCTTCCCATTCATCTCTGCTCTGAATGCTGGCTTACAGACGCATGCTCTATTGCAATCATTTCTCTGAGAGAGAGGCTCTGAGTTGCGGCTCACAGCTGTCAGGAGGGCCACACAGTCAACAAATCCACATCAGTCTCTGTTCACCAGCAGTAACTGTCCAAAGAGCTCAAGGAGCGCTTTTTGATTAAATGTTTAGTACACACTAAATGAAGTCATTCCAAGTCTTGAACCCAGTCATTAGTTTCCATAATGGAAAGTTTTGCGCAGCATGAAGGGGGAAAGTTTACAAAACAGGCCTTTTAAAAAGATTGTTCAGTAGCTCAGCTTCAGTTAATGTCTGATCAGGTGATCTAACACATGATAATCCTGACAATAATCCTGCAAGTAACAAGTGCACAGCAGCTCATACTTACTGATTTGTTTTATACATGCATATTTTTTTCTCCTTAAATGTCATAATTATGTACCATATTTGAAAGTTAGCATTAATGCTTTAATGTTTTGTTTAAATTTTCACTACCATTCAAAAATTTGGGGTTGGTGTGATTTTTAAATGTGTTTGAATTCATTCATGCTCACCAAGGCTGCATTTATTTGATCAAAAGTTTTATTACAATTATTATTATTATTATCATTAATACAATTTAAAATAACTGTTTTCTATCTGAAAATATTTTAAAATGTAATTTATTCCTGTGATGCAAAGCTGTTTTTTTTATTTGATAAATAAAAGGCATAATAAATATAGAAATCTTTTGTAACATTACAACTATATATAATATATCTGAGATAAATGGCATTTTTATCAGGCTCCTATAAATTATTCATATCATAAATCATAAATTTTGTGTTTTGCAAAGTTCGCTGCTTAAGCTGTTGTGGTGTTCATTCACCTTGTTTCTAGATTATTGTGTAGAGTGATCAGATGCATTTTAGATAATTGCTAAAAGCTTCATTGGCCAAAAAAATTAACTTTTCACAAAAAAAAAAACTAATTTCACAGTTTTTTGATCCGGACACGAAATGACCAGCTAACATTAATTGAGTCATCTCTTAAGATACTTTTAAAATCCAAAGCGAACATGTTCGTCAGGCGTAAATATTGACATAAAAAAGATAACATTTGAAACCACTGCTACTATCTTAATCTAAAATGAGAGCATTCTTAATTACATGTCCTTTTTATGACTTATGACTTATGCATCTGTTTATGTTTGTAAAGTGAAGATATTAATAGCAAACTGAGCTGAATCGTCTTTCACCTGGATTATTCTTGCTCCATCCTGAGTGTGTGTCACACAAGCCAGTGTTGAATGTTCATCAAAGGCAGCACATGTGACTGAGAGGCCTCCCCGCTCACTTCCTATTGTTCTGACATCACAAAGGCTTTGGGGGCAGCAGGAATTATGTCTGCCGTGATAAAAGCCTGTAAAAGATCTTTTGTTGATCCAGACTGAGGGGAGATTGAAGTTGTGTTAAGTTTTTTTTTGTTCAATGTTTACACGTCATTATATCAGTGATATTTTAGAATCATTTATATACTATTATAGTACTTTTTAAAAAATATTTTCACTTGATTTTTAGTCAAGTCACCTTTATTTCTATAGCGCTTTATACAGTATGGATTGTTTCAAAGCAGCATACAGGGATAATGGCCTGTTAATGATGTTTTCAGCAGGTTCCTTCCTTTCAGTTAAAGTTTTAGTTATTTTTGTGGTATGTTTTGTCGTTTTTTATTCATTTTATGTAGCATACATTTTTAAATTAATTTTCTTTTATTCTAGTTAGTTTTAGATACAATATTTTAGTACTTAAAGTTAATCTAAACAAAGATGAGAAATGCTGCCTTGGCAACTAGCTGAAATAATTTTTTTATTTAATTGATATTATTATTTTAATTTTTTCATTATATTGTATTATATTTCAGTTAACATTTATTTAGTCAAGTAACACAAGTTTTGTTTTACACACGGAACTCTTATCAATGTTATTTTAGTATCATTAATATACTATTATAGTTTTAATTAATATTTAATTTAATTTTAACTTTTTTATATTTTCACTTTAATTTTAGTTCAAGTTTTAGTATTTTTGTAGTGCATTATTCATTTTATGTAGCATACATTTTTAAATTAATTTTCTTTTATTCTAGTTAGTTTTAGATACAATATTTTAGTACTTAAAGTTAATCTAAACAAAGATGAGAAATGCTGCCTTGGCAACTAGCTGAAATAATTTTTTTATTTAATTGATATTATTATTTTAATTTTTTCATTATATTGTATTATATTTCAGTTAACATTTATTTAGTCAAGTAACACAAGTTTTGTTTTACACACGGAACTCTTATCAATGTTATTTTAGTATCATTAATATACTATTATAGTTTTAATTAATATTTAATTTAATTTTAACTTTTTTATATTTTCACTTTAATTTTAGTTCAAGTTTTAGTATTTTTGTAGTGCATTTTTTTTATTTTTTTTTATTTATTTTATTATAGGTTTATATGTTTTATTAATTTTCATTTATTCGTTTTATAGTTTATTTAGTTTTAGTTATTTTAGTACATCAAGTTCAAATTAAATGTTGCTTTGTCAACTAGCTGAAATAAAATAAGTTTGTAAAATATTTTTTTATTCCATTTCAGTGTACATTTATTTTATTTCAAATAATGAACACAAACAAAAATTTTACACACAAACATCATATCAGTCTTGTTTTAGTATTATATATTTAAGAAAAATATATTATGTTTATATATTAAACATATTTATATATAATATAAATTATGTGAATATAAATATATACATGTAAATACATGTAAATATTTTCTAAATATATACTGTGTGTGTGTGTATTTTTATATACATAATATAATATACACAGTACACACACATATATTATGTAAACAAAAACTTTTATTTTGGATGCGATTAATTGTTGCCCAGCACTACATATATATATAAACCTAACATAGAGGGTTAAAAAGTAATTTAATGGGAGGTTAAAAGTACAATTCACTTGAAAATAACGGTCATCATTTACTCACTCTCTTGGGTGTAGGTTTGATTTTGACATTGGTGGAGACATAACAGCAGGCAACACCCATCCAACTACCCCAACATTTTCACATTTATGACTACAGTTTCATGTCATCTAAAGTTTATTGCTATGGTAGCCAACATACTCATAATTCATAGAGAGTTTTTTTATGTTAGCATATTCATCAGGCAATAATTACACAGTTTTGATTATGTAAAACCAACAACATTACAGCAGCATCAGAGCGCTGGGTGTCTTAATTAGGCTTTTTTTAATATTAAAAATGTTATTTAATATTATCAATGAATTGGACCAATGATGATTCTGACAGGGACTCTACTGTTGCTATAGTAACGGACACAACCTTCATGCACATCTGATTCACAGATAAACTACACACTCTTATTTCAGTGATTTTTATATTGTTTTTTATTTATTTATATTTTGTAGATATTTCATCTAATAGTTTGCTTTGTACATTCAGTTTAACAACATACAGTTAAAGAGTGTAAACTTTATCATTGTGCTCGTATGTTTTAAACACTTCTGCTCCCTTTTATGTTCTTACTCCGCACATGTATTAAATGCACATCCTTGAAGGCGTGCAGTTTTCTTGCATTTAACTTCTCAGGTAATATCAATGTTAGGACTTATTTCAGATGACGCTGAAATTATGACAACAGTGGTCACATATAGATATATTTAATTGTTTGATCAAAATGATTGCTATAGGGACAATTTAGTAGTCGCTGGATATTGGTAGGGACATGTCCCTAACATCCCTACTAAATTCTACGCCCTTGCTCACTCTCATGTTCTTCCAAACACTTATGACTCTCTTTCATATAAGTTTCAAAAGTTACAAGGTCGAGTAAATGATGGCACATTGTTCATTTCGTGGTGAACTATGTCTTTAATGGTCAGCAGGTCTCACACTCATTTGTGTAAGGTTAGTATGAGGGTCTCAGAGACATCACATCTCTCTCAGAGAAGCGTTGGTGACAGTTATGAGAGCGGTCATGAGTCTGCAGGACAATGGCGGCTCTGTTCAGCCTCCCTCTGTCAGCAGCACTCTTTAATACACAAATAGTTGAAGGTAGCACACCTAACAAATCATCCTCAAGCACTGCCACTAATGCTGGAACTCTATAGCTACATTTTCTTCCCACGAACGCATGTGTCTGTGTGAGAGTGTGTATGTGTGTCTAAATGTCTCTTGAGCAGCAAATCAGCAAATTAGAACGATTTCTGAAGGATCATGTGGCGTAATGGTGCTGAAAATTCAGGAATTAATTACATTTTAAAATATATTACAGTAGAAAACAGTAAATTTAAATTGTAATACTATTTCACAATATTACTGTTTTTACTCTATTTTTAAATCAAGTAAACGCAGCCTTGGTGAGCAGAAGAGACTTCTTTCAGAAACATTGAAAAAAATCTTACCAAAGTCAGCTTAACCAAAGCTTGGATAAAACAGATAATTGGGGAAGAATAATGAAGAATTAAGACTCTGGGAAGGTCTCAGCCTCCTGAGGCTCCTGGAATCTGATCCAGACTCTGATCTCTCGGTCTGTCGGCTGTGACACACATTAGTGCTGACAAGGGTCCTCCAGCAAACCCCTCTCCAGCCCCAAACCCACGATCCCACAGACACACACACACTCACACACACACACACATACACACACACAGACACAGAGACACACAGACACACAGACACACACACACACACACACACACACACACACACTCACACACACAGACACACACACAGAGACACAGACACAGCCACACACAGACACACACACACACACAGACACACAGACACACAGACACAGACACACACAGCTGGGACGGTGCCTATGTGAGAAAACACCAGAATGCAGCAGCACACTGCACTCACAATAATACTGAGAGTGCCATGCATCTTTTGTAGGGCTGCACGATCATGACAAAAATCATAATTGTTGATTATTCCCTTGAAAATGTAATTGCAATTATTAATTACGATTATCACAATTTACTTTGAATGATGTTTATAATATTGTTTGAAGCAACTGCATGCCATATTTTTATATGAAAATGAACAAGCTGAAAACACTAACTGAAAAACTTGTACTGCTTTTCTATAGTATTAAGCCGCAAATGTCAACTATAAAGTAAACATATGCATGGTATTATAATGTCTTAAAGTAAACTATTATAAAACTTAAAGTAAACTATTGTAATTAGCTGTAAACGAAATCACACATACATATATATATATATATATATGTGTATATATGTATATGTGTGTGTGTGTGTGTGAGTGTGTGAGTGTGCGTGCGTGCGTGCGTGTGTGTGTGTGTGTGTGTGTGTGTATGTATGTTCACTGCTCAATATATGAGCTCAATATAACAAAAATATAACAAAAAATCAATTAGCAAAAATATTTTAGGCAAAAAAACAAAACAAAACAAAAAACATTTAGGCTAAATAAAGTTTTTCCTTAAATGTGATATGTGAATGTTTTTTTATTAAACTAAAGTATATAGAGGGCAAAATATAGCCTATTTTAATGTTAATGTTTTTTTTGTTTTTTTTAAGGCTAAATAAATATATTAGTAGAAGACATTTACACAAAAAATTTAACATTTTAGCAAATTTACTTTTTGCTTTTTTTTTTTTGCACCATATGGAAACCTAGCATAGTGGTTTTACACCAGTACACACATTTTCTTTTCTTTCTTTTTTTTCAGAAAATGTAAAAATCATTTTTTTATATATATATTTCTTCATAGTTTTAAATACAGAATGAGTCATTTTACAGAGGAGAGAAATGATTCTTTTATTTTGATAAATTGGTTAAATAGACAAAAATGCAACAAAGGAGATACAGAAAGATTCATGGATATAGTCTGAATTAGGCCCATCTACTCTTTACAAACGTAGAGAAAAATAGGAAGAAACTCATAAAACACATGCGACTGCGGCAGAGAGTTGAATGTACATTGTATATTGCATAATTGTATACCACATATTTATTTCATACTGCTCTAAGTGATACGCTCAGAAAATAAGAAAGAAAATAAAACATTTAACTAGCTTAATTTCTTTTAGTCTCCCCTGGTCAGAACTGGACGGCCAAGCATATAAAAAGACAATAAATGTAATGTGGTTTAGTTAGTAAGTTATGATTAATAAACAAAAAGTAGTTTTTTTTTAATGAAAACTTAAATAACCAAGTAAGTTGGTATATGGTGCTTAATCTGATTGACATTATGTTAAACAAACTATTTTGATTTCTACGGGTCTATTAAAGTGATTCAGAAGTTTTGCACTTTAAGTGGAATTCCAATTGGCTTTGTAGGTTTCAGTGATTGAAATAAGCAGACGATGGGTCATTGTTTTCACAATCAGATAGTGTATGATTACATAAATAATTTCTTTTCACATGTAAACATGCATATTGTTTGCTTTGTCCCGGTGAAAAGGCATCTTAATGCAACGGTTTTAATGCACAATGCATGTGAATTGCAATGCGATACGAGTATAGTGTTAGTACAGTTAACATATTTTACATTTTAACATGCACAGAAAAGGGAGTTCATCTTAAATGCAATATTACATTTTCACTTTCACTTTTCCATCTCATGCCACACCACGCAACTCTGACACGGTTCTCTGCAGGAAAACAACACAAGTTCCTCCCTCCAGTCGAAAACACATGCTTAACGGGGTATATCATTACACTTGCTTCTGCTCTCACTAAATGCATGGGGATTATTATTTGATAGTTACTTCAAATTTGGGCCTTGCAAGTCAGCATAGTACCTCCCAACTATGGTAAATATGTTCTTATGCGCATGGCTGCCAATGGTTTTGGCACAGATGAGCGATCAAAACAAAGGTGGGGTTTTATTTGGCCTTCTCGGGTGCCACAGGGTCCGTTTGCACTCCGGCATCAGAATGGCGTTTTTGGCCCTGTGAGACACACCAACGCATAACGCAACATTAGAGATCCTAACTTAGCAAGAAAGTGTGTGTTTTTCTACTGCTCGTCCATAATGGTGCCTGAAGCAAAACCTGACAACTGGGCCAGATCTTGCTCCAACACGTCCTTTTTTAGCGCAGCTTTGGAGAATTTCTGTGCTTTATTATCTGTGATAATTTAGTTGTCATGACAGTTTTGTCCGAGAAAACTGACAGGGACGATCCCGCTTGAAATAACCATAATTGGGGACAATTCTCTTTATATTACATGACAAAAAGTATATTTTATTTATGAAGAAGTTATACATTGCAACAAAGATTAGAATTACATATTTATATAATGAGATTCCATGCAATATTATTAGATTTCATGCTATATATTTGTGCCCAATTTAATTAAATATTTTAAAATATTTATTACATTTTAATCAGCATTTATTAAAATACAAATAAGCTGATTTGGAATTGATTATTATTATTATAATCTAGATAGGTTGGTAATTGATGCCATCTAGTGTTCATACACGGTAAATGTTGATTTTTTGTATTGTAATTAGTGCTGTCAAACGATAAATTGCGATTAATCGCATCCAAAATAAATGTTTTTGTTTACATAATAAAAAACTTGTTTTGGATGCAATTAAGAGCTTGGCCGCACTAATTATAATTCATCACCTCAAAGATCACTGATTTTAAGATTAACAGCCAGCAATATCAAAATAATCAGGATGGTTAGACATCGGACAGAATTACAAAATGTTTCTCGACAGCATTTAACTGGCAAACTACATACAGCTGAAGAGTTAAACTACACAGATTGCAAATGCTCACAGGTTTGTGGAGAATCTCTGGGTTTCTACTTAACCAGGTTTTTGAAGAACAGCTGGAGGGAGTTCCTCTTCTCCAGCCTGCGGGGCATGTTGGGGGAGGCGTTCTCTGAGCTTTCGGCTGATTTGTTGTCCGGGGCCGCTTGTGGTGCGGGGGCGGTGGGTTTCGCCTCCTCTTTGACCTTCACGGCTGGAGCGGCTTCTGCCACGGGAGGTGCAGCTGGAGTCTCCTTCTTGGGCTCTGTTGCCTTATGTTGATAGAAATGAACGGTGGTTAATGAGATGAATATGCTATTCTTATGCACATTATATTTTATATTTTGTACACTCTTGTTCAAAAGTTTGGGGTCAATATGATTTTTTTTTTTTTTTTTAAGAAATTAATGCTTTTAGTCAGCAAGAACGCATTAAATTAAAATTTCAAATTTATCAAAGAATCCTGAAAAAAAGTATAACAGTAGCACAACTTTTTTCTACATAATAATTAATTAATTATAATAATTAAAGATGTAATTTGAGAACCATATCAGCAAATTAGAATGATTTAAGTTGTTTTAAATTGCGATCATATTTCACATTATTACTGTAATGTTGAACAAGTAAATGCAGCCTTGGTGAGCATTAGTGACTTCTTTAAAAAAAAAAAAAACATTATAAAATTTTGACCCCAAATTTTGACTTTTGAAGGGTAGTGTATATATTATATACTATATTATCATATATTATTTTTAAGTAAAATGTACATATAAAGCAACATTTATATAT